TCATCGCCATTATTATGTTTCTTCTTCTCAGGCGTCCCTCCCACCTCTCCACCCCGCTTTCTCCAGTCCAGCCCCATGTCATCCCTTAACTCACGATCCCCTTCCACGCCTGTCTGCTCGCCCTCCCTCCCTGCCGACCCCCCCCCGCTACGCACCGCTTGCTTTCCTGTTCCCCCTCCCTGCCCCCATGTCCGTCACGGACCCAGACCGCCTACGTCGCGCCCCCGAGTCCTGTCTCTCTCTCTCTCTCTCTCTCTTTTTCTTTCTCTCTTTAGTGCCCCTTGATCACCACGATGTAGCAGGCACGGCACTTAGACATCCCAAGGGGGAGTTAGTTTTGGTTCGCCAGTTATATGTTCTTCTGAGACCCCCATGATCATGGCAGAGTAGACGTGGCACTTGGAAATTCCAAGGGGGAGCCGCCTCAGCATTTTACACTGGCACGCTAGCGTCCATGTTGTGGGGATGTCTCAGACGAAACGCCGGTTTCAGTTTCTTCGATTCCTCTCCCTCGAGGGCCCCATGATCACCGCGGTTCGGCCTCAGGCATGGCGCTTGGGCATCCCCAGGGGGGTCCGCCAGGGAAGACCTGGCCAGACCCAGTCGTACTCGTCCAGCCGCAGGCCGTTTCACTCACGCCCGGGCCCGCTCACCATGCGTTTTTCCCTCGACGGCCCGCGAGAGCCGACGAGGCCCCCCATGGGCACGAAGGTAACAGAACGTGTTCCGTCTTGGACTGTTCACAGGCGATGATGCACGGCACCCTCAGCCCTTTGGCCACGAGCTAGCGACGAGTCAGGGCGGGAAGGCGCCTCTCTCCGCCCCGCGCTTCCAGCAGGACAAGGCGAAGTACTACCACGAGCAGCTCTTCCGCAGCCACCAGATGCTCCTGATGGACTTTGCGGGCGGCATGGAGGGGGGCTCGGAGGTCATCCTCGAGGTTCGCGAGGCTTTTTGTCATGCTTTGCCCTTTGGGGTCTCGGGGGTGGGCTCCTCGTCTCCACGGCTGGACTCCCCTCGAGATCCTGGCCAGCATGCGCCCCCCCCATACTTTGGCCTCCTCTCGGGTCGGACGAACGGAGGAGATGTGGAAAGGTGGGGTACGAAATCTGCTGCATGCAGCTGGCTTTGGCCCCACAGCCAGGAATTTGTCCCAAGGGATCGGCGCGCAGCTAAGTACGTGAGCTCATCCCGAAAATATGATGAGTGCACGAGGCCGAAATATGCATGGGGAATGGACGTCCGAGCGATGGCAAGACGAACCCCTCCTCGCGTCCGATCCGATCCTCCTGAGCAGGACACCGCGACCTCGGAGTTCCTGTTCCTCACGGACTTCTTCGACACCCGCGGCGACCAGGCGTTGTTCGTGGAGGCGTGGCGCTCAGGGCGAGGAGGCAAGGAGGGGGTGGCGAGGAGGGGGGGGGAGAAACATTCAGGCGAGGAGTAGGAGGAGGGAGGATAGAGGAGGGAGGAGGAGCGAGGAACAAGGAGCGAGCAGGGAGGAGCAAGGAGCGAGGTGGGAAGGTAGAGGGGGAGAACTGTTCGGCTTCTGGTTGCCCTTCCTAGTGCCCGGGGACGTCGAGAAACGGCTTGGGCTGAAAAATCTGTCCGGTGGAATTGGGGGGCCAGCGATAGAGGAGAATGAGGACAACCGAGCTTGGAGCGTGGAATGTTTTGGGCAAACAGAATGACGAGAAGATGGACTAGGAGGAACTCGACCGATCTGCCATATCATCGGCGTTGGCAGATTTGCTGTTGATGCAGTGTGCGTTCAAATATGGTTGTCGTGCGTTGTTTGAGCACTGGTATAATGTTTGTTGGTTCGAATGGTGTCATTGATGCTACTGCGTGTTTGATTAGGCGGTGTTGTCAATGATATTGCTGGCATTCCGTAGGATTGTTTGATGATGGAACCCTCTGTTGCTGACCCGTTGCGCTGTCGCGCGTTGTCGGGACTATCACAAGAGAAGCAGTGCAGATCGAGTGTTGCGCGGGTGAGGGGGACTAGGGGCGCCGGTGCTCTGAATTTGTTATGTTGGTGTGTGGCCGCTCGCTTATTACCGCAATTAGTGCTACGCCGACAGGTGTTCGGGAAGACGACGGCATTCTTCCTCGACTCTCTGGAGCAGTTCTTGGCCACATGTTGGGATTCGGCGGGCGCGCGGGCTATCCTGTTTCAAACAATGTTGATTCACGTGTACGCTTCCGCTCGCCACATGGGTCCCTCCTGCTTGCTCCCATGCTTGCTTCACTCGCGCGTAAATCGAAGCTCATCTTACGCGTTATCGTTCACACGCTTGCCGCCACATTCGTCACGCAGTTGGCCTCCTCGTGAGTCTGAGGCCGTCCCTCCGCGTGTGGGCGCGTGTGTGTGTGTGTGTGTCTAAACCATTATGGTCTCACCTCCCTGGGCGAAAGGGGGAGGAAAGAGAGAGAGAGAGAGAGGAAGAGATTGGGAGGGTAGATTGGGAGGGTAGGGATCATGGTCGCAGCGGTGTCTAGCGCATGAGGGCCTCCCAACCTTGGTGAATATTGTCTGAGGCGTGTTGGATGGAGACCCTTTGGGATTAAATATCGGTTTGGATTTCGCTGTTCGGGGCCATCGCGCCAGTCCCTGGTTTTGAGCACGCTGGCCGCAACCATCTGAGAGGCTCCTGAGGCCAGAACCCCCCCCCCCCCCCTGGATGGCAAGCCTGATCCCGACCCACCTGGAGCAATGGAGTGCGAAGTTTTGTGATCGAGTAGAATCGGTGATTCGCCCCCATATCCCTGTCCTAGTCCTCACCCTACAGCGCCATACACTACAGTCATCCCGTTGTGCCCGCTTCCCTGGTTGTTGCAGATCGAAATCGTCACGTCGTGTTGCCACCATGCATGATGAAGTGTGTTGGAGGTGCGATGTTGTCGTGATTTCCAGCATGGATCAACGGTCCTTGTTGATGTGCTTGGTGTTCTGCGTTGTTCTGCAGCACTGTGTGTTGCTCAACATCGCTTCATTCCTCTCCTTGGGATGTCCGATGGCTTCTTGACGCTGGCAGGTCTGATGTGTGAGGCAAGATCCCAATGCGAACCACGGTCTTTCACCCCACCAGCGCACACATGGTTGCGGGGCTGTTGTCCGAGAGGAGTTCGACTCCGCGGGGCCTAGGCAACAATGCTTATACGTGTGAGCGTGCTGCATTTGTGTATACTTGTGAGCGTGCTGCATGTGTGCAGCAAACGGAGTTGCGATGTCCAATGTTTGTCCCATCGCGGAATGTAAAAAGTCTGCTAGCGCATAGACGGAGGTTGGGGGTTGAAACCGTACATGTTTTAGTGGTTCGCATTGATGTCGTGCGCGCGAGGCCGCGCGTGTGTTGTCAAGCTGTGAGGTCTCTCGCGGCCACCGTGGTGGATGGCGGAGGGACACAGTGTCGCCATGGAGTCGCGGTGGTGTCGCGATGATGGAGGAGTAAAAGGGATTGGGAGCGATCAGCGAAGGGCTGCGTTCAGCGGCGCAGGTGGCCAGCTACCGCATGGCTTGGCACATGATGCATGTTGGGCCTGCGATCTGATCAGAGTTCTGTGGCAAAGGTGACTCCACCGCCAGGGTTATGTCGGGCATGTCCTCTTACATGCGCTTTGTTTGAAAGACATGCTTACCATAGTCAAAACATACGTTTTCGTACATTACACAATCACGTTAAACAAATCTTTGGGGAATACTTAACAAAATCGGACAAGCCACGAAGCCAGCTCCACGCGGTTCGTTCCCACGGGGCGCACCTCGAGGACAAGCGACAGACGCAGCATGCGCCCTGAGGGCGCGCGAGGGGAGCCACCAGAAACCAACCAATCCAAACGTGTAGAAAATCCAGAGGCAACCGCTGATCGCAACGCGTGCTGATGGCAAACGAGAAGCGCCGCAAAATAAAAAGAAGGGTCTGCGGGGGCTGGCGAAACGCCACAAACTCGTCCTTTCTATCGATCGGTCGATCGATCAATCTTCCGATCGAGCGATCGACCAGCCCCCCCTCCCCCACATCCTTCTCCCCTCCCATCCCAATGTGGAAATGTTTGGCAATAGAATCGCAGGCCGGTGCGCGGGAAAATTGGATCCAAAAATGGATACAAAAATATTGACCTTTCTCTGTTTTGGAAGCTGCGTAACACACGCAGGACGCATCACATGTTTGATGCGCGCGCGCGTTGAGAGCCAGTCCCCCAGCGGGATCGGGCACGCAGAATGAGGCCTCGACGCTTCTGTGGAGCGGAACGACATGCGCTCGGCAACGTAACGGTACTGAACCGCTAGCGAGCTAACGAGAGCATTGAAACGCTAGCGAGCCCATTGCATCATATGCCGCTGCGGCGCGATTTCGGGCGAAGGGGGGCAGGGGGGGACATGGCCGCGAGGTTGTCGCGTTCTCGAGGAAAGGCCACGGGGCCCACCTCAAGATAGTGCTTTCCTGAAATCATGCGGGTGCATCTTCTGGAAGACTTGGAACTGTCTGTCTAAGATGGTAATTCGCTGCGTCCTGGGGTGTTGTGATGTCTCGCAAACGGTCGGTAAGCGTCTCCTGCGGTATGTTGAAATCGCAGAGGTCGCCGCGTGGCCACATCTGGAGTATTTGGGGATTTCGCAAATGGCAGGGGCACATCCTATGAGCATTCTCAAAAAATCGCGAACTGCATTGGCGCATCTTTGGCACTGGCGAGTATCTTTGGAGCATATAAAAATTCACAAATGGCACTGGTATATCCTTGAATTATTCTGACATGTCGCAGATCGCACTTGCGCATCTTTGGAGTATTTTGAAATTTCGCAGATGGCATTGGAGTGTCTTTGGAGTATTTTTAAATTTCGAAGATGGCGCAGGAGTATCTTTGAAGTACTGGTGGGTAAGTTAGGAAAATTTTGGGCGTATTTCTTAGGCGCGTGAAATCAGCGGGGGTATCTTTGGAGTATTTCTTAAGATTGGAAATCTACGGGAGGTACTGCGTGAGTTTTTGAATTGAAATCTACGGGATGTATTGTTGGAGTATGTTGCGCGCGCGTTGTGCGCGCAACCCTCCAGTGGAGAATTTTTGCGCGGTCGGCGAGCGCGCAACATCCGGAGCTGGAGTATTATGTCAATTCTCGGGGCATGTTGGACATTCGCTCCGGGCATGCTAGGTGCTACTGCTGCGCTGGCGACGATGCCTGTTTGCACTTTGGCTGCCCCGGCGGCGCCGGCGATGATTGGGGCGCGCCGCAGGTGCCCTGTCCTGCATGTATTGCCACGCATTGGGCCCGCCGGTTTCTGCACATAAGTATTTGTATTTAGACGAGCACATGTGTGCAAGTAGGCGCATTGCTTTGCCCGGGTTGAATGCGCCCTATACACGGCTCCGCGCGATCCACGCGACCACCTTGCCGACCCAATGAATAAAGATCAATGTTGCTGCGTTTTTGAAATTTATGCAAACGTGCACAAGGAGCCTTAGTCGTAGTTTGCCCCATCGCACGGCGATTTTCGTCCTTATATACTCTACCCCACTACAGGGGCGCATGCAAGCCTGTTCTTTTCTCTTAGACAAGAACTGGTCATTGTCGATATGACATGTCTACCCCGACTCCAATCTTGCTCTATTCGGAACGGGCTCTCACCTTACCCTGCGCCCAGTTGCAGTCAACCTGACTCACGGACAACCTCCAGTCCACTCCTACCGTGTTTGATCTCAACTCCTACTCCACTCATATCTACTCGATATGGCATCAACGGGTTTATGCCTTGTCTGGTCAGGATGACCCCATCGCGCAATATACCACGCGCGAATGTCGAAAGAAGCCCAGTGGCCGAACGCGGGAAGCGCCGGTCTACGCGCGCCACCCCAATTGAGAGGGGTAGGGCGGAGAGGACGCACAAGGATGGCGCGCGGGAGCGAGGGGGTAAAGAGGGGGGAAGACTGGGGTTTTGCAGCGAGTACTTGGATGCCAGCGGCCACAGAGACTGATCGGGCGGATGTCGTGGACGCGCGTAACAAGATGGAAAAAAAGTAGCAGGGATCCAAATCTGCAGGGCCATTGTCGGCTGCCCAATGGGTACTCGCCGAATTGCCCGCGCCGAGCGCCAATCTAATCGCAGCGATGCGCCACCCCGTCCACGATGGCAGCGCGCGGTCGACCCTCATCAATCCTTATGATAGCCTATGCGTAGCCTGTGATAGGTTCCCCGCGGGCCTGCGAACAGGTTATGTATAGGTCCGTCACAGGCCTATGCATCGGATGTGCACAGGCCCACCGTAGGCCTGTGCATAGGGTGTATACAGGCCTGTGGAAGCCTTCGTCGTAGGGCTTATGCACCGCTTGTGCACAGGGCTACCATAGGCCGGTGCACAGTCTGTCCACAGGTCTGCGACAGGCTTATGCGCAGCTTATCCATCGGCTTATCGATAGGCTTATCGGCAAGCCTAATTATGCACATCCTGCCCATAGGTCCATCGATCAGCCTATCGATAGGCTGCCTCGGGGCATGTGTGCTCCGAAACATAGGCACAGCCTGTGCATGGACCTGTGCTAGGGCCTGTGCGCACCCTATGCATAGGCCTGTCACAGGTCTGAAAACAGGTTGCGCATAGGCCTGTGATGCTTCTGGGCGAGGGCCGACATGCTGGAACAGGCCTGTGCATCACAGGTCTGTGCAAGGGCTGTGCACAGGCCTGTGGTGGGCTTGTGCGAGGGCCGACACCCCACGACAGGCCTGTGCACAGCCTGCGCGCAGGCCTGCCGCGGGCCCGTGGACAGCCTGTGCACTGGCCTGTGGTGGGCCTGGGGGGAGGGCCAACGCCCCCGCGACAGGCCTGTGCATAACCTGTGCATGGGCCTGTCGACAGGCCTGTGGTGGGCCTGGGAGAGGGCCGACACCCCGCGACAGGCCTGTGCATGGCCAGTGCACAGGCCTGTCGCAGGCCTGTGGGCAGCCAGAGCACAGGCTTGCGGCGGGCCTGGTAGAGGACCAACTCCCCGCGACAGGCCTCTGACAAGCTATGCGCAGGCATGCCGCAGGCATGTGGACAGGCTGTGCACAGGCCTGTGGCGGGCCTGGGAGAGGCCCGACGCCCCGCGACAGAGATGATAGCGTAGACTACGCAGGTTTATGGCTTCGGGGGCGCGAATCTAATGCAACTTTATTGTAATTTGCAAGGGCTGGTGGCTTCGGACACGCGAATACCGCGTAATGTGCGATGGTTTATGGTTTCGGATGCGCGAATAGCGTGTAATTTCTTAGACGTAGGGTTTATTGCTTCGAACTCGCGAATATGGTGTATTTGAATAGGGTATATGGTTTCGGTGTCACAAAGATTGCGTCATTTACGCAGGTTTACGGTTTCGGAGACACGAAGGGTAGTTTACGATGGTTTATAATTTCGGATGCACGAATATAGCGTATTTTGGATAAGGATTACTAATGGTTTCTTGTATCGGGCACGCAACCATTGTACAATTTACGGTGTTTACGGGTTCGGATACGCGGATATAATGTAATTTGCTAAGGTGTATTGCTTCGGGGACGCAGGCATTGCGTTATTTTGCGAGCGCGTGTGGCCTCGGGGACGCAAGTATTGCTTATTTTCCAAAGGTTTATGGCTTCGGGGGCACGAAAACTGCATATTTTGCGAAGGTTGATGCCTTCGGGGACGCGAGCCTTCTGTAATTCGCGACGGTTTATGGCCTCGGGGACGCGATCATTGAGTAATTTAGGAGAGTTCATGGCTTCGGGGGCGCGAATTTCAAGTATTTGTACTGTCCCACGCCTCTCCTCGGAATTCAGAGCACGCGACTCGGGCGTGGTAATCCGGACGTTTTTCGGCTCCCCCTCCTCGCGCGTTCAGTACAACAACAAACCGTAGGAAGCAGAAAGTGGAACATTGGAAATTGGAAATGTGAATTGGCGCAGGGAACAGCAAACCCTCGTCCGACAGCCTGGTGGCCCCACAAGGGGGCCAGCGGATTTTTCTTTCATTTTTCAATTTTCATCTTGTAGAGGGACATGCTCGACATAACGCTGCGGTTTCGCGCTCCTGAGAAGCCTATCGTGCCAACCTCCTCGCCGTGGACGACATGCTTAGCAGGTCTCGTCACTGCGCGCTTGCTTGCCATCACTACCGACAAATGCCTCCTTGGGTCTCCTGGAAACAGCCCTTCTCGTCCCTCCGTCTTCGTGTTTTCCTGCTTCACTTGGCTACATGGGTCTTCTCCGCTGGTCATTTCCAGGCTCCCGTCGTACGTCGTTTCGGTCGGCTGGCTGAGGGATCGCGGCGATTGTTGTAGCAGTGCTCGCAGCTTGCCCTTGAACCGTGTGAGCATCTATTGAGTTTCGATCCGACCCGATCGCAGAGTGCAAGGGTCGGATCGATCTCTCGATGTCTTACCACATGTTTGATGATGGTGAACGAAATGACGATTGCGATGTTGACGATAGGGATTCCGGTTGTTTTACCGATGATGGTGATGGCGACGAAATGTAGGAAATAACAATAATGATGATGATGATGATGATGATGATGATGATGATGATGATGATGATGATGTTGATGATGATGATGATGATGATGCTGATGATGATGATGATGATGATGATGATGATGATGATGATGATGATGAGGTGAAGCGGGCGGGCGTATAGTGCGTTCGGCAGAGATCAGAGGAGCAAGAGGACATGATGATGATACGTTCCAAGTTTTACAGGGCTTCCCATCTTTCCCCATGTTCCGCACGGGCTGCAGAAACGAGGGCCGCTAGATACTCTGGAATCTTGGAACGTGTCTTGAGCCACTCGCATCATGGCGTAAGTCTCGTCCTCAAAGAGGAATCGGCGCGTGACGAGGTGGGACTCCTCCTGATGGTCCGGATCGTCGAGTTCTACAGGGGGTGCATGCGGAGGCGGCAGGCGTCTTACCCCGTGGCGTCGTCTTTCTCTGCCATAGTTCCTAATCGTGGGCGTCGGTGGCAGCTATACGCCGTGACTTCAGCATCGTTTAACCGATCCCTATCACCATCCCCATCCACAAAACGATCCCCTCCATCCCACCACCCCAGTTGGGGATATGCCCCTCAAAACCCGAAGGGAATGGCCTATATCTCCATCTAGGGGGGTAAATCTCCCTGGAGGCCCAGACCACGCTGGTGGGGATAGGGATCGGTTAAATGGTGTTGGCGCGGTGTACAGGGACAGCCACCTCAAATGTTGTTATGTCTTCCCAGAGGGTCGACAGGGAGGCGGAGGGCGAGGAGGAGAAGGAGGAGGAGCACGAGGAGGCGGAGGATAGCACGGCAATAATCAAAGGGTGAACATACCAGGAAAGGGAGAGGGAGCAGCAGCAACAGGAGCTACAGCGGCAGCCGCCGCAGCCATCTCAGCAGCAGCAGCGGGGGAAGCAGCAGCAGGAGCAGCAGCAGCAGCAGGAGCAGCAGCAGCAGCAGCAGGAGCAGCAGCAGCAGCAGCAGCAGCAGCAGCAGCAGCAGCAGCAGTACCGAGCGCTTCTCCTAGAGCACACCGCATGGGGAACACAGCAGTCGGACATCTTGTCCGAAAACATACGGGTAGATCTCTCTCGCCGATGCTCTGTTCGGGACGTCCCTAGGGAATGCAACGGCGAGCCTCTCTCCCTGTCCTGGTTGTCCAGGCATCACGAAGAAGAAGAGCACAGTCAAGTCGCATGGTAAGGACGAGCAAGTTTCCAAGCCTACCCTTTCAGTCCTTGCCCCTTCGGCCCATCCTTGGCGACTTTCTCTGACTTTCGGCCAGCATGGCCCTCCAAGTCCCTTGCATCCTTACCGCAAACCCTTCTTATGCCACTTGACTGCAGGGAGAGAGGGGAGGGTGCATGGGGAGGAGGAGACTGGGAGAGGGGGGCGTGGGCCAGGCGAGCCTCGGCCAGCCGCCTATCGAGGCCGACGGCCACTTTCCAAGAGTTCTGGACGGCCCTCGCGCCAGGTCAACTGCCTGGACAGCTACCTGGACGCCCTCCAGCTGCTGCTCTGGCCGCGGCTGCGGGCCCTGCCCCGCGCGGCCGCTGCCCCTGGGCCTAAGAAACATCGCTGCATAGGCAGCGATGCTTGGTTCCGGCGCGACAAACAAAAAAATTGCGACGAAAACAGCTCACACTGCGTATCAGACTGTATCGCACCTCATCGCGTTTCTTCTACCGCACTTGAACGTCTTGTTTCATCTCGTATCTTATGGCACTGTGTCGCACTTGCGCCGGGGCAACGCACGCGCCAGGGGCCCCTGGAGGGGACTGCATATGAGCCATCCATGAGGGGATCCGTTGGTCCCCGCGCCGCGCCGTGCCTGTTCCACAACATCACTTCGCTAGAACGTCCTCGGAGTGGTACAGCAGGGTCTTCCGCCTCCATCCTGGGGCCGCCCGGAGGGGACTGCCTGTGAGTCCGCGGTCGAGATGAGGGGGGCTCAGCGTGGGGTCGTGGGGTCCATTGCAAAAGGGGCCCCAAGCATGTGTGAAATGGTGCATGCAATAGTTCATCGTGAACACATACACCATACAATGCCCCGTGCGCTCGATCAGATTCAGGTGTTCGTGCGCTCGGATGCCATATCTGATTTTTGTGATGCAATCAAATGTTCCCTCGCTTCCTACGAGTGGGCCAAGATGAATGTAACAGTTGTGCCTGATCATACAATGATGGATGCTGCCGTTGCAATTGCTGAGTCCGCCCACGCGGGCCAATCTGTCCTCGCGCCGTGCCTGTTTCCCGACATCGTTTTGCTAGAACGTCCTCGAAGTTGAACAGCAGGGTATTGCGCCTCCACGCCTCGTCATTGTGTTCGGTGCCACCTCTGTTCAGTTCACCTCCGTCTGTGGGGCTTGCGCACTCGCGCTATCAGTGGCCATTTCTCTGGCTCAGAAGGGTATTTTCGCATTCGCGCTGGCGACACTCCCAGCTTGGTGGTCACCTCCCTGGCCCAGAACGTTGCTTCCAACCCGACGCAGGCTGCATTCTTGAGCCGTACGGTGTTCGCGCCGTGTGACAGGTTCAATGTGCATCACGGCATAGTGTTATCCCCCAGCGCCAGCCACATGTTTGATCCAGAATGGCGATCTCGCCTTAGCAACGGTTGCAGTCCTGGCTCGAAATACAGGTCTCACCTCAGCGCCGACCACTGTCTTGGCTCAGAATTATGTGTTCCTGACCGTCAGCCATACTCATGCTGTCAAATATGTCTCTCGCAGCTGTGTCAGCCACACTCTTGACCGCAGAGCCAGCTGCATTCCTGAATCCGAATTGTGCTGTTGCTTGCATCAGCGCTGGCCAGACTCAAATGACGCCTCCGCCTCCCTCAGCATCATTCCCGTGTCGGAATGATGTGGTCTCCCCAGCTTTGGTCGCAGCCTTGTCTCAGAATGCCGGCTTCTCGGCGGCGCTGGCCACGCTCCCGGTTCGGAGCAGCGCTCTCGCTTCAGCGTTGGCAGCACTCCCGTGCTCTCCCCTCGGTGCCGAGCGACACTCCGGCACAGCCAGCGCACGGGGCACCCACGAGACGCCCACGGCCGCCACCGGCCGCCCACCGGGCGACTTTGGGTGGCACCTCCTAAGAGTGCATTGCATAGCGCAGGCTGCTGAAAGGAAGGCTCCGTCACTCTGTGCTGTGGACATCCTCGGTTCATGCAGCATGAACGGCAAACGCTCAGAAAGACACCTTCAGCGCAGCCTCCTTACGGGCCCGCATCCCCCATGATAGAGTCACACTTGGGTGGAATGATTGTCCAGCCATTTATGGTGCAATCACTTTGGGCCTCTTCTGGTCAATAGCACGAGATCACCGTCGGCACAGTCACGGCACAGCCGTCAAGTTTGCAGCACGATCACCGTACAGTCGATTGGGGGCTTGAACCTGAAAGGCCACGTTACGTTGGATACATCTATCAGATGGTCGGGGCCGGGCCGCAAAAGAAAAGGCAGGATGAGGGGGAGCATGCAAATTCTAGACGCTTCGCGTATCCCCACCAGTCTGTCGCGGCCGCAGCCCGACCGTGACCGCCTGCCGCTGGCGCTTCTGCCTGCGGCCGTAAAAAAGACAAAAAAGTATCCCCACCAGCCCGTCCAGAAACGACGCCCAGGCGAGTAGAGGGTCGTCCTGAGGGGCTTTTCGGCGTCTTGGGTGCCTTGGGGGGGCCTCTGTGGGCCGTTCGGGATCCTCTTTGGGGCCCCCTGGGGGCCTCTTGGGGCCTCTTGGGGCCATCTTGGGGCCTCTTGGGGGTCTCTTGGGGGCCTCCTGGGGGCCTCTTGGGGAGCCTCTTGGGGCTATCTTGGGGCCATCCTGCGGCCTCTTGGGGCATCCTGGGGGCCTCTTGCGGCCATCGTGGAGGAAATCGATCAAAGAAGAGGGGAGCCTTAATTAGCGTTGCCCCCTGAGAAGGCCAAAATGGGGCCAAAACCATAGTAAAATCAATGTTTTTGGCTTCCTCGCCGAGGCCGTTTTGGACGCTCTGACCGCTCCCCGCCCCTCCTGTCCAGGTCAGTGGGGAGGGGGTAGGGGGAGGGGTAAACCCCTCCCCGAAGGGGAAGAGGGAGGGGTGGAAGAGGAAACTCGTTAAACCACCGACACCCAGAGGGCTGGTGGGATTGCGAGATCTCTGCTACATTGAATTGTTCGCCCAATCGTCTGCCTGCATCTTGCCAGCAGGCAGCGACAGCCATCATCACGATACGGCTGCGCGACTTGTGTTGCTGGTGTCAGAGGCTTGCGCTGGGCGAACCGTGACATCGGGGAGGCATTCCCCTCCCCCGACAACCTGCCCCATCTTGCCCCTCTCGCGCACGGTCGAGAGCGCACGCCCGGCGGGCGGTGCGCGAGGCCGTGCTGGACGCCAACATCTCCTCGCTGCGGAAGGCGCGCGGGCCCCGCCATGCGTTTTGCCCTGGCAGCTGGCGCCGGAGAGGCCTTGCGCCTTGCGCTGGCCAGGGAAGCGTTGGGCCGCCGCTCCTCCTGTCGTCTTCCCATCAAGCCTCCCTTCCCCCGCCGTTCCTCGCCCCCTCTCGCCACCCCCCTCCTTCACACTGCTCCATGTCACTAATTAGACGTCTCGTGTGTTGCAGCTCCCTGGCATGGAATGACATCCCGCACATGTTGTGTCGATCAACCAGTGCGCAGCAAAGTCGAAGAGACGTAGCAGTACAGCATCGATCAGTGGCGACGGAACGCATCCAGCGTCAGAGTCTTTGCGGAAATTTGGAGGATGGAGAAGCAGGAGTAAGAGGAGGGGCCACGGTGCTGGAGAAACGAGGATGCGTCTTCATTGATGGAACAAGCTCCTATTTTGATTGGGAGCGCGCCACGAATCAAGCGCAAGGTCACGCAGCAACGGCTCATTTCTCCCACCCGTCACCACCTCTGTTCTCCGTCCCACCGCTACTACTGGATAACCTGTTGTCCCTCCCGTCACCGCCTGGGGTCAGTGAACCAGAGGCTTCCTAGGGGGCCTCCCATGGCATCTTGGAGGCCTCTTATGAACCTCACGTGCGTTTTGAAGCTTTTTGGGTGCCCGCTGGCGAAGCCCCGGGCTGGTATGATCGTCTCTCTTAGGCCTTCTTGGTGGTTTCTCGGGCTAGTACTGGAGGGGCAGATTGAGCGGTCATAGACGCTCTTACGACCAACAGTGCGAGAACATTCGCAGCATACATGGCTTGCGGTGAATTGAGTTTCGCTTCTTGGGTTGGCCCCGCAGGCCGCCAGAACGGCCGGTGATATCTTTGGACCAGCTTTGGGCGTGTCGGAAGCGTGGATGCCCGACCGTGTTCCCGAAGTTTCTGGAAAAGTCACGCGGTGGTCCCCAAGAGCGATCAGGGGTGTGTGGCCCTGAAACAGTGCTACAATATGCCAAACTCTAGACGCTTCGCGTAACCCCACAAGCTCATCCAGAAACGATGCCCAGGCGAGTTGCACTGATCAGAGATGTGGAGAGCCATGCAGTAGAATAAAAACTTGGGGAAACTGTCATACCACAAGAGTGGGAGGATCGAGGAGTAATCGGAGTAGGAGGGGAAGGAGGGGGAGGGGAGGAGGAGGGAGGAGTAGGGAGGGAGGAGGAATAGGCGGATGAGGAATCGGAGGAGGAGGAGGAGGAGGAGGACCAGCGTAAACCCGAGAGTCATCAACGATGTTGGAATGCACCTTCCCTCCAAGCTTCCTCCTCATAGGCTTACAACGGTTCATCTCCACAGGGAATTGCCTCGTCGGAAGGCAATCATTTGAAGATTCTGAAGCATGCCAAAAAATTGCTCTCGGGATTCCAACGCCACGGATCAACCTGTTTGTTGCGTCTTGACGAGCTTGAATCGTGCCTGATACTGCGAATCAACGTAACTGATGCACACGCAAAGTAACACCATTTCTGGTACGTTGATCATGGGAGCCAGTGGAACTCTTGAACATTTTACAATAAATTTTATAAACGAGTGCGCGCGGCGCTAAGGCGAGAGCTACATCTTGAAAAAGGAACCGCCCTCAATCCGTAAAGGTCTTGCACATCTTTAAGACGAATGTACGCGGCGCTAAGGTTAGAGCCACATGTCGAACACCATCCGCCCTCAATCCTTGAAACTCTTGCACAGTTTAAAACGACTGTACGCGGCGCTCAGGCGAGAGCTACATTCTGAAAGCCACCCGCCCTCAATCAGAGAAACTCTTGCAAGTTTTAAAAAAGCGAATGCGAGAGCCACATGTTGAACACCAGTCGCCCTCAATCCGTGAAACTCTTGCAAGTGTTTAAACGAATGCGCGCGGCGCTAAGGCGCGAGCCACATTTTGAAAACCACCCGCCCTCCATCTGTGAAAATGCGGTCAATGTTTAAGCTCCAGGGTCGCTAGTGGTGAGGAAGTCTTTGGCGACACGCCCGGCTCGCCCTAAAAACTGGCCTCGGGGTGCGACAGGGAGAATTGTTTATAAGGGAAGGAATGGAGGAGGAAAGGAGGAGGGGGAGGAGGAGGAGGACGAGGAGGAGGAAGAGGAGGAGGAGGAGGGCGAGCAGAAAAGCCAGAGGTCTCTTGGATCTCTTGGATACCTCTCGGAGTCGCTTCGGATGTCTCTTGAATTTCCTGGAGTTCTCTTGGGGCGTCTAGGGAGTATCGTGGCGGTCCGTGGGGCCTCTTGGAGCGACTTGGGTGCCTCGGGGAAGCCTCTTGGGGGTCTCTTGGGGGTCTCTTGGGAGTCTTGGGGAGCCTCTTGGGGACTCCCGGGCGCCTCTGTTGGCCCGCTTGGGACAGTCTTTGGAGCCTTGAGGGCTGTCTTGGGCCATCTCTGAGCATTTCGATCAAACAAAATGCGGGGGGGTCCAATTAGCCCCCTCCCCCCAGGGAGGCTAATAAGGGAAATCATTGAGTTGCGCCTTCTCGCCGAGGCCGTCTTGGACGCTCCAACGCCTCGCAGAACCTCCCGTCGGGGTACAGGGGGAGGGTTAATGGGAGGGGCAAACCCCTCCACGAAGGGGGGGAAGAAAGGGGTTGGAAGAGGAAACGCACTATACCACTCACACCCTAGAGAGTGAGTGGAACTCCGCTTGGAGGACTCGAAGGGGCCCGAGGGCACTCCACTCAGTGCATACGGCACGGTGGCGGATTCTGGGTGTCCTCACGCGGTAGCCTTGAATTGCATCGAGCTAGTTGTTCACTGGCATCGTTGAGATCTGATGCTTCCACGGGGCGACCTTTCTCCACGCAGGGCGCTCCAAAATGGGCCTCGCCTTCGAGGGATACAGAGATTGACGTATCTTCCTCGGTGCAAGGCTGCGAAAGCCGACGGAAGCACCCCTCAAAGAGATAGCAGTTTTGAGGGATACAAGATTTCTGAAGATGCTTGCAATGCGCTGCTGTTAAGATAGCGGCCTTGCTGCCTGAGTCCAGAGTGCCAGCGCTTGCAGCTGTCCATTCGACGGGAGGGGAGGGAAGGGGAGGGGAAGGGAGACTGGGGCGGGCCAGGGGTCAGGGTCTCCGAGGAGGAGGGAAGAGGAGGGGAGAGGACAGCCATGAGGAAGATCCTGGAGGCCTCGCGCAGCGCGCAACGCAACGCCCGATCGGCCCAGGGCCCGCCCTGAGACTGAAGCAGAATGCGGAAATAGACGCTCACGGCGACAACGATCCTTTGGAGCATCGCCGGAAAACAAGATTCGCGAGCACAGCAGAGCAATCCAGGCATCAATCCGGCCGTCCACTTTTGCCTTGGCCTCCCGCGCCGCCGATGAGGAGCGGCTGGTAGGAGAGCACCGCGAGTGTCCGCGGGAGCCTAGTAGGCGGCCAGTGGCGCGACGAGCGGAGCAGGTCCAGAAGCAGCAGGGCAAGGTAGCCGCTCTTGAACGAGCTGCCAGGACAAGGATAAATTCGGGTGAGGGCAAGTCGAGAGTCTCTGAGATCAGGCGGCTCTGGAGGATGTCTCGGGCGCCACGGCCTTCTCAGAGTGTTCCGGAACGCTCTGAGAGCGTTCCTGAACGTTCTGGTCTTAGCCCCGCCCAATGCACGGGGTACTGCCAGAGCGCGGCCTCCAGTAGTTCTTTCATGCGGGGCTCTGTGGTCTCCCAGTTTCCATCGATGAAGCGAGCCCATCCAACAATCTTGCGCAGCATGTTTCTTGGAACGGCATCCAGTTTGCATGCTCCGAGGTCGGCGGCGTCGTAGAGGAGTTGTAGCAGACAGCAGGAGGAAAGACGCTGTGAAAGAGCTTGAGGCGCCAAGCGATGGGAATCTTTCCGAATCAGCAACGTCGTTGACAAATGGCGAAATTGCAATCATCCGCCAGACATGCCGTGGTTCAGATTGCATTGCCCTCGCCGCTTCAAGTCTCCAGAGAACAGTCGGCCCAAATGTTTTGGGTTGGCGTCGCATCGAAAGATGCCCACCATGCACTCGCGGGCGTCAGCCAGGAGTACGACATCGCTGTCTGAAGCCGCAGTGCCCGTGGTCAGAATATCTAATGTCCTTCGGCCCATCCCCCCACTGGGCCTGGGTTGTGGGTGTGAAGCCTATTGGATGTTCGTTTGGATCTTGTGGGATGCTTCTCGGGGACCTCTTGGAGGCAGTTTTGGAGGCCTCTTGGGAGCCTCTTGGGGCCTCCTGGGCGCCTCTTGGGGCCTCATGGGAGCCTCTGTCTTGGGGCCCTCGTGGAGAAGGGTAGCAATCATTTCCAGAACGACACGGTGCTTGTCCGCGCACTTGTTCACTGATAGCTGCTTGAGCGCCCTCAGCCCGCTCACGTGGAGCTCCAACATCTGCGCAAGCAGCGAGGTATCTCCGAGGCCGTTCGGCCGTTCGCTCCAAGAACGCACGCCTTCCAGCACTCCCACGAACTCACGAGGTGCTTGTCTTTGAGACGCGTGCTTCTTCACAGGTTCGGCATTGGTTCTTCCGAGGCCACCTGGTTCCTTGAACTTCGAGAGCTGCTCTGGTAAGGGCGCCACTTTCTCAGTCGCGATTTCTTCGAAAGCCGCGCTGCCTTAGCTCTCGTGGTGCTGCCGTCTCCCACGCCCTGCCAGCCGCTGCGCGGTCCGTCGCGGTCGCTCCCGAGGATTCGGCAGTTGTTTTTTACACAGCCGTGGACGTCACGGCAGGAATCTGTTGTCCCGGTCTCTAGCAGTTGCGTGAGTGCCGGTTGGGACGAGGGCAATTCTTGACAAGACATGTTCGGTTTAGTCCGCGCCCGCTGCTGGCCATTGGGAGGAAGTCGCACCGATGCCATCACCGCCCTGTGGTTTGAGCCGCAGTCGAGCTCCCGAACAGAGTCTGCTCGCTGGGCAGTCAGAGTGTCGTCCGTGACGATGTAATCAAGTTGTCGTCTGTGTCCAAGGTTGCTTTCAAAATCCCAACGTCTGCTCCACGGTACGTCTGGTCAGGCAGAATGTCCAGACCATGTTCCGCAACGAAGGTTATCATCACTTCGCCACGCCAACCGGCGTGCACCTGAGTTTCGAAACCACCACCAATGACAACGTGCCGGCCTGAATTGCTCATTCTGTGCATTCCGTTGTGTCACGCAGTTCAGAACAGGATGCTTGAAGAGCACCTCGCCAATAGCGACTGAGGAGCATATGCAAATTTGCCATTGCAATCATGCGACCCGAGGAAAAAATAATTCGACTGACTTGCTCAGCTAGAGAGTGCCTGCGCAAGAGAGTGGCAGCGCCAATGTGGCGAGAGTCGCCGAGTCCTAAAATCAAACGGTGACCACCACCAAGAATTACATCCTCTGTCAGAGCCCGTGTTCTGGAGAAGCAAACCGCATCCCATTGCACGTTCTCAAGCTCGGCCAAACCATGAATTAGCCGATCTGCTGTTTGTCTGCTTGCTTTTTTGCCATTGCCATATAGCAGAAGGACCTCCAGCGACGAAGTGCATCGAGGCTCTGAGTTGATCAGGCTGCTCCCTAACGGGACGTATTGCCCTTGCCCTTGCCCTTTCTGACGCCTGTCTCCCCAGCGATCGGGGAAAGCTTGTCCTTGCTCTCTTGGGGTATTACTCCCACCCAGTCCCGCACTTAACCTTCAGGGACTGTTCCGCCACGGTTGTTTTGAGGACCTCTTCTTGCCCCATTGTTAATGTGAGGGCGTCTTCGTCCATCCACATTGACGACTTCACGCGCCCCCATTGGGAAAGCATCTATGTAGCGCCAAAAAGGGTTTGTTTAGTGGCACGAGTTTCCAAAGGTTGTTCTTTCTTGGCCCATGCCCGCTTGCCATCGGGAAGATCTTCTTTGAGATTGCGTATGATTGCAATTGATGTGTCACGGTCGGAGTGTTCAGGGAAGTTTGCATGTAGAAGGTTTTTGACCCCCCCCTTTCCATGTAGACTCGGTAGTTGGAGGAGCATTTTTGTTCCAAAGTCGGTTTTTGATCTATGTTGATGTTGCTCATTCGTTCCCAAAGTTCTCCAGCCCGCCGAAGACAGCGATCAGCTCGTTGTCAACGATGCCAGTCTGCACGAGGGTACGCATCTGGATCTCTAGCTTCGCGATATGTTCTGTCAGGTCATGTTGGAGCTGTGTGTCTTGTGAGCTCCTCCTCCTCCTCTCAGTTCCTGGAAGGTGCGTTGTTACCTTAAGCTTCTGGAGGTATTCGTTCACAGCCTCAATCCTGCTCAACAGCCCTTCGCTCTTCTCCTCCATCCCTTCGAACATGTTGTCCAAATTGGGCTCCACCCTGGCCACGTCGTCCTGTAGATCGCGGACTGTGTCCAGGACATGGCAAAGTCGTTTATCAATTTCATATCCAGGAGCTTCACAATAGCATTGTGGGTGACGGGCTTATCGTGTGCATCTGGTGACGAGACTTCTTGTGTGTCCATATCGTCGTCGCTGACCATTGTGTGCAGATGGCAAAACAAAAGGTTTCGAACATTCCGGCCTTCTCGTTCTCGTCCGATCGGTGTTATTGGGACCCAGGTGTGCGTGACCCTTCGTTCGGCCATGCGTGCATGGCAAGCTAGGGGAAGTAAGAGGCAAGAGATGCGAGGTACAATAATGGGAATGAGGTGCTAGGAAAGCTTGGGCCCACGAGCCCAACTTGACCCGTGAGCCAAAATGGCCACACGTCCGTCCCATCAGATCTTGGACGGCATTCGCGCGGCGAGGTTCCGACGGAAGTTCGATGTAGATCCGACGCGGATCCGGGACAGATCCGACGAAAGTTCGTCCCAAGTTCCCGCGCGAGGCTTCCAGGTTTTCCCTCGTAGAAGGACGGGGGGGGGGAGAAATGGAGTGGCGCAACGATGGAGGAGGGATGGAACCATTCAGCCCGGAGTGGGAGGGCAGGGGGCGAGGGTGAGTTGGTGAGGCAGAAACGGAGAAGCCCGCAGAGCGAGCCCGATGCCAATTGGAGATCCCGGATCAATGCTCAGCTCGATTGGAGCTCGCAGTGGGGAGGGACGTGGCTGCGCCTGCGCCCCACGGGGAGGCCTCGCAGCAGGGCCTCGTCGCGGCCGCCGACACGCGCCCCCACCTGCTGACGCGGCGATACGCGGAGCTGGCGCGCCTCCTTTCGCAGACACCGCTTCTGTGGCCGCGCAAGACTCGATCGTCAAAGTCATCCCCACCCCCACTGGGACAGGGTAGGGTAGCTCTCGGAGGAGGCAAGGTCCGATACTGCTCATCCTGCCTCGCTTCGCCGTTTTGGGACCTCCTGGGCGGCCCTCGTCGCCGCCGCTGGATTAGCCTCGAAATCTTGGTCAGAACGCACCCCTGGAGAGGTCCAGGGAGAAGCGGTGTCGGTACCTTTTGGCTTCCCCAGGGTAGCTCTCTTGGCGTACCCCTTCCGGGTGGGGATGGGTGCCAGGAAGCCCTCACAAGACGGCACTCATCCGCACCCAAGGGGGGGGGGGCAGGTCGGCCAGAGGGGTCAGGGTTTCTTCTGTGGGGGTGGGCATGCCTTCGTTTGTCCAGAATACAAGAGTTGATTGTGATGGGGGATACGGTCGGACCGATGTAAAAGATCGATGACGGTTCGGGGAGGGCACCCTAGTGTTCCTCGTGTGTGTTGAACGTTCTTGTGCATCCTGGGGAGGGTACCCTTGGATGTTCTGTGTGTTTTGGCCCGCGGAGGGTCTCATGTTCTTAAAAGATGTTTTTCTGGCCTAGGCCCGCTTTGGCCCGCCCGTCATGTCCCCGCATGCAGCGTTTCTTTCGCAGGGTTCATTGTCGGGGTTGAAACTGGAGACGAGACTTGGAAGGTGCTCGCGATTCTGTCCTCGTCCTTGTCCTCCCGCGCCCCATGCCGCAGCCGCAGGCATTCGCGATCGTATCTTCTGATCTATTGTGTTGCAGCAGAGTCATCGTCCTCGTCCTCCCTGTCCCATGCCTCGTCCGCGGGTACTCATGATCGCACGTTCTTCCTTGTTGTGTTTCAGTAGAGAAGGAGGGCGCGATTTCCTTCTGCCTCCCCGCATCGCCGGGCCGAGCGATGCGCGGGTCCTTATCGGATGAGGTGGCCCGCCTTTTGGCACCCATCGTGTCCACCCCAATTCTCGTGCACGCTTCGAACGTTTGGCTTTTTTTGAAAATCAGGCCGTGGCGGAGTTTTCTCGGCAAGCGCTCACTCCGCGACGCGCTGGTCACAGTCGGTCAGTAGAGCGAGAGAAAGAGAAAAGGCCGCGTGTGAGAGCGATTGGTGCAGCCGCGCCCTCGCCTAGACACACCAAGGGTGTCCGCGGTTCGGTCGGGTCGGTTGCGTCGCGCTCGGTTGCGATCGGTAGGCCGGGTTCGGGCCGTTGTCTGTATCGTGGCCGTGTCGTTGCCTTTTTCTGGGTTGTGTTTTCTTCTCGTTGTCGGTGTGGGTGGTCTTCGGTTGCGTTGTCGAGGCTCCTCGCCTTCGCGCTGGCGCAGCAGAACCTCTCGACCACCTCCCCTGCGGCCTCTGCTGCGCTGCCATCCTGAACCAAGCTGGGTCCCACGCGCTGTGCTGCAGCCGCGCGGAGGCCACACGGGGGCACCACGATGTGGCGCGACGGGCGCTCGACGCAGCCAAAGTCTGCGACCTTGGCACCGTGCTCGAGGCCCCAGGCCTGGTGCCAGGCACGTGGCTCCGACCGGCTGACGTCCTCACCGGCGCTCTGGGTAACAGGCTCCTGGTCTCCGGTGTCGGCGTGGCCTCGCCCGACGCCGTGATCGCAGGCCCGAAGTGCGCGGCCACCATGTGCCGACGCAAAGTCGAGTACTACTCCGCGCAGCAAAACATCGCGTACCAACTACTGCGGCGTTCACGTGCTTCGGCTGACCTCGCCCCCGAACGACAGCCATCCTCTTTACTCTTTGCAACCAAGCAATCGTGTAGGTGTGGTTGTTCTGACGGGGAGTGGCGGTACAGGCGATTTCTTGCCGCCATCGGCACCAATTTCTGGCGCCAGGCAGCCAGGCAGGTCCACGCTTGCTGGCCGGACCGTGAGCCCGACGCAACTTAGGCGCCCTCGCGGCCACCCGTCGCCGCAGCTCCCCCGCTCCCCGTTTCCGCCCCCCGCACGCGCGCCTAACTAGCGGGGCCTGGTGGTTCACACCCCGCGGCCGTGCTCCCCCGTTTGTTTTCTGCCTGCGTGCCTGCCTGCCTGCCGCCCCCCCCATTGTCCTCCTCCCTCTCACGTCCCGCGGGCCCTGAGGCCGCGCGTCTGCGCGATGCGCCAGGTGTCATTGTTTGTTCGGATTTCCCGGGAGGGTCCCGTGAGGCTCCGCGTCCGTGTCATGGCCGCCGCAGCCGCCTGGCGGTTCGACGCAATAGGTAGGGTCTAGCTGCTCTCACGCGGCTGCCGATGCCGTTGCTGGTGTCCCTCCTCTTATTTCCCTTGCCTCCCTCCTTTCGGCGGGGTGCACGCTGAGTCCAGGAAAACTTTCGGTTGTCGTGCTTTATTTTTGGGACCGTTGTGCAATTTGCATTGCGTGTTGTCGCTCGAGGAAGGTTCTTCGTTGCGTTCTGGAGTGGCCACATCGTTAAACCACCGCCCCGTCACAGAGCCTCTCTGCGCCGCGTATTTCCCCCGCCTATTCCTCATCATCATCAGCTTCATTTGTTCATACTATTTTTTCCCAACCATCCTGTGGTGTTGGGTCCTCGTTTTGAAGAGACGGTGGTCCGCGTCTCCTCCTCCTCTCCTCCTATTCGTGACAGTATCAGGGACCTCGAGACCGCCATCAAGGCTGTGGGCAAGCTCAGCGACGGCGGCGGCTCGGCTAAAACCTCTTTGGAGACGCAGCTTCAGGAGGTCAGAAAGGCCCTTTCGGAATGCAAGCCAGCGCTCACCCAGCACACCAACACGGGCCACAAGCTGGCACGTATGGTTGCGAAGCGCAAGCAGCTCGGACAGGATGAGACTACACAGCTTCAGATCTTGCAGCAGGCTCAAGAGAAGCTTGATTCAATCCGAGCACAACAAACTGTATGTGATAAGGAGATTAAGGAGCTCAACCGCCAGCTGGTGCTCAATCTTCCTGGTCACCTGGGGCATGTTCCGCTCAATCTCGAAGAAGTCCCACCAGGTGCTGACAAGGATGCGGTTTCGGCCATGCTCCAGTCAGATGTGTTTCAGTAGTGCAAGCAGTTCCTCGCGGAGCAGCAGGTCAGAGCGGCATCGGCAGCGACGACCACGGCGGCTCCCTCTCCATTTGATGTTGCTGGTGATACTGATATGCCTCAGGCTCAGCAACCAGAAGCATCAACACCAACGCCAGTTCGATCGCCCGCCAACAGTGTTTGGGCGGACGCAGCTGACGAGCCCGTGCCTATCGATGAGGACGACCCCGACGTGCAGGAGCTCTTTTTCAGCGCCCAGCGCTTCGAGAAGCGGGAGTTGGGCATCAAGTTGCAGGAGATCCTGGCCAAGCGCCAGCGGCGCTCCTAGCAGTAGCAGTGAAGTAATGCCCCTGTGCTGCGGCCTGCCTCTGTCTAGGTTTGGCCTTCCAGTGCCTCCCCCTCCTCCTCCTTTGGACTCCTCTCTGGGCACGATGGGCAGTGAGCTCTTCGAGACGTACAACGGAAACTCTTGGCCCACACTGCGAGAACGGTTGACTACTTCTTCCGCCCTTATTTTGTTGGCACAGGAGATCGGTTTCACCCTCGACGATGAAGGTGACAAGTGCGACGCAGTAGGTAAGCTGGGCTGGCGCATGCTCGCAGCTCCTGCTGTTCCAGGATTGTCTGGGAAACCTAAATGGGGGGCGGCCGTCTTGGTTCGACAACACCTGGGCCTCAGGTGGCCCTCGGATGGCTCTGGCATCGTCGAGCACGGTCGGATCCTGAAAGCTATCGTTGATATCCCGTCTTGGCCCCCCTCGTTGTGATGTCGGTTTACTTGAAATCAGGTGCGGGGCTTTGTGAGCTCAACCTGAGGTTACTTAAGAAAATCGGACAGGCTTTGCAGCACGAGCACCTCTTTTTGGTGGGCGGAGACTGGAATCTGGCTCCCAGTCTCATCGAGTCTGCTGGCCTCCCCCGCCGCCTCGAGGCGGTCTTGTTCGTGCCTAAGGAACACACGTGTGTGAGCCCCTCCTCCCTCACTACCTTAGATTTCTTCCTGGCCTCCAATAGTTTCTCGAGGGCGGTTGAGGGTGTGAAGGTTGATTTGACCTGGACGGGGCGGCCCCGCAGGCCAGTTCAGTTGCAACTTCGTGATCGTGCTGTTTCGTTGTACCAGTTAACTTACAGGTCGCACCAACGACTTCCTTGCGAGCTGCTTGTGGGGCCGTCCCCTTGCCCGCAGAATTGGAGCGTGGCTCGCGACATCGCCGAATGTGCGGCCGCTGCGGCTATCTCGGCCCCCGTCGGCGAGGCGTGGGAACTTTTGAGCCAAGCGCGGGTGTACTTCTCCAACGCCCTCGAGCTCGAGCTCGAGTCATTTACGGGCGTCCCAGTTACCAGCAAGGGCCACAAAGGTTTTAGGTTGAAGGCGCGTTGGATCCCCATCTTTTCTCGTCCCAAAGGTAACGCTACGAACCTGGTTTATGTTGGTTGGGAGTGGTTGGCCCAGCAGCTTCGTGGAACCCTCGGGGCCTGTCGTCGTTTCCAGGAGGCGGAGCAAGGGATTGGTCAGGACCCTACTAAGCTCGATCAGTTGTGTCAGGACGTGAATCAGCAGATGCAGCTTGTTGTTGCTCAGCCATGCCCTGGAGAGGGACTCAGCGCGCGCTTGGACAGCACGATTGCACAGTCTCGTGAGCTCATGCGCCGCGGGTCCGCCTCTTCAGCCACGTGGCTGACCGACCTTGACGAGTTCCTCCAGTCTTGGGAGGACGACTACGATGATGCTGTCAAGGCCATCAAGAAGGGGAGGCAGGACTCGTGGGATGAATGGCAGGTGAAAGCTTTGAGGGGAGGGGCTCGGGCTATGCGCCGCCTTACCAAACTGAAACGTCGTTGGACCCCTGCCACGATCGAAACTCACCCTGGCATTTTCTCGGCCAACCCTCGGGGCCTGCTCGAGGCCGAGAGCGAGGCGTTGGCTAGTTTTTGGCATGCCAGCACTGCGCCGTCTAACGTGTGGGTTCCCAATAGGAA